GCAGGAGTAGTCCCTCCATTTCCTCCAGCAGCAGCTCGAGAGCGGGCAGATCCTCCAGTTCCCCCAGCAGTTCCTCAGGTGAACCCCCAATTGGTGTTGCTTGTGGAGGCATTGCAAGCAGTGATCAATAACGCAGCAGGGGTGGGCGGGGTCCAAGGTCCGCCACCCCAACACCTTCATACTCCCTAGAGCGAGGCTCGCTTCATCAAGGATTTCAAGCGCTATGGACCTCCAACCTTTGACGGTGAGAGTGAAAGAGCGACTGCAGCGGAAGAGTGGATCAGAGAGTTGGAAGCTCTTTACGCGTATCTTGGTTGCGAAGACCAATTCAAGGTGAAGGGTGCGGTTTTTATGTTGAGGGGCGAGGCCCTGAACTGGTGGGACTCAGTAGCAGCGGCAGAGGATCATGCAAATGTACCAATCCCGTGGGCGAGGTTCAAGAACTTATTGTACGACTACTACTATCCGGAGATTGTGAAAGACATGAAGGAGGCAGAATTCCTGCATCTAGTCCAAGGAACCTTATCGGTGGCACAGTATGAAAGAAAGTTCACGGAACTCTCCTGATAAGCGCCAAGGTTGCTCGTGTTTACAAAGCTAGAGGTCCTTCTAGGATCCTTGCAAACATTCACAAAAACGACTAACTTACCGAATGATTCCAACCAAGAGTAAGGTTAGAAGATGAATCACTCTTAGATCGGACTTAGAATCTACGATGGTCACTCCTAGATCCTAAGACGACTCACTCCAGAATTAGCTTGATCGAGACTAATCCAATKAATCGRTTYAAYATCAAACCTAAAGCAAGATTTGAAAGAAGCAACACCAAAAGTGTTAAGGAACAAAAGTTCTTGAATTTCAATATGTTTTCATCTTAAGTTCTCCGTAACAAGAGCATTACAAGCCTTTAAATAGGCCAAATGGTCGTTCAACATAAGAACACCAAAAGTTTTTCAAAATACTACTTAATGCAAATTGTAGAAAATAAGRCATGCAAATTAAAACTTGATTGCACATCATTCTAGACACTTAAATGCGGATCAGAAAATGTAGTCATGCTTCAAATGGTCTTATCTATGTGCTGTAGGAGGCGCTTCACATTTGGATATGGTTTGACAACTTTTGACTTCACAAACTCCAAAGAGGTGCAATCTGCAAAGGCACCTGTTCACGAATCTGCACACTTTTTTTGTCCTCCGTGCCATCTCTCAAAATAGACAACTTTTCCCGTGCCATCTTTGCTCCATTCTCTTCTTGACTCATTGAAGTAACATTATGAATAAATTCGGGCTCAAAACTCTTTGTTGCTCCTTTGATATATGTAATTGGTCACAAATGGATTCGTATCATCTCCCGTTTCGCTCTAGAGTTGATTCCCACTGAGGCATTAAAGATCAAGAGGTTTGTTAAAGGCTTGCGCAAGGGAATCAGAGGCCCGGTGAACCTCCAGCGACCCACCACCTATGCTGAAGCGGTTAGGGGCACCTTGGTTATGGATAAGGATGTTTCCAACAAGGCCTCACCCCTGCCAGAGGTCGGATCATCTTCAGGTGTGAAAAGGAAGTTCCCTCCGACTTATGCCGACCCGGTATTGAGAGCACCCCAGCGCCAGGCTCAGCACCAAGGCATATGCCGCCAGTATGTCCCACCTGCCAGAAAAGACATACGGGGCAGTGCTGGACGGGAAGTAAGGGTTGTTTCAGGTGCGGAAGAGAGGGGCATTTCGCAAGGGAATGTCCCATGTCGGCCGCAAATACACAGAGGTTAGGCCAGAGGATTTCCCCATCAGTTTCGATGCAGGGGAATAACCAAAGGGCTCGTGTCTTCGCACTTACTCGCAAGGAAGCGGCGGATGCCGAAACCGTGGTCACAGGTATTTCTTCTCATTTTGTTAAGAAACCCTTGAGAGTTGGATCTAAGAACCTTGCTAACGAACAAGACCCATAGAACTCAATCCCAAAAACCCCGAAAACAAGTATGGAATCAACCCAAGGAAAAGTTTTAGAACGGATTACCTTGATGATCAATATCAAGAGTAGAGAAAACTTGTTTCTAAACTCGTGATTCGAATCACTCCACAAGAGGTATGATCAACACCGCTTGAATGATCCTAACATGCAAATTCTAAAGACACAAGAAATTGCACAAGAAATGGGAGATAAATCTCTCAACCAAGCTAATGAGAAAACTCACKTTTCATTCMACTTCAAATTGTGTTACAAYAAGACATCTCAAGGCTATATATAGCCATCCTAGCAAGCCATATGAAAAGTCTTAAGCAAATGAAAAGACTTGTAACTTACAAKAAATGAAAAGACTTGTAAATGAAAAGACATAACTTACGAGAAATGAAAAGACAAACAAATGAAAAGGTTAAGAACATGGAAAGCCAACCAAAATAATTGCAATCTCGTCCATAATGAGGGATGTGAGTGTTTGACTTGGTTTTTGAATTGAATGAGTTGACTTTGACTTGTCTTGATGGAGTTGACTTTGACCTTGACCAAGTGGACTWTAACTTGCCATAAAAACACTTAAAAATGCATAACTTGCACCAAATTGAAGTGCATAGTTCTAACTTCTTGCACATCTTCCTTTATTTCTCTTGTCGAGTTCAAGAACGCTTGGACATGAAGTAGCAAAGCTTGTTGAAGTTTCCTAGCTCTCGATCTTGTAATCGGTCCATGAGGCATAACAACGGTAGCTCCTTGGTTCATATCATCCTCTCCATCTTCAGAAGGATTCGTCCTCGAATCGAAGTCATCAACTACATCAAAAGGAGACAAATCAGAAACATTAAAGGTAGCACACTCACTCCATACTTACCTGGCAAATCAATCTTATAAGCATTATCATTATGAGATCTCTCAATGCAGATGTTAGGGAAGATACTGATATGAACCAAAGTGTCTTAGTCTTCAAGAGTTAAAGGAAGTTGTTGGAGAATCCTATGTCCAAGTTGACAACAAATTAGAGTTGCATTAAATGCACTCTAGTATCATTTATGGCAACCTCAAGTTGTATTGAATTAAGTCAAGAACAAGTCCAACTTCATTTACTACAAACTCAAGTTGCATTAATGAAAGTCTAAGTTGAACTCAAGATGCATTAAATGAACAAGACTTCAAAGTACTTGAAAGTAGTTCAAACTCCAATTCAATCACTCTTGAAGGGTTACAAACTCTTGGTTTTATGGTGGAGGAGTTTCATTCTCAGATTTAAAGCATGTTTAATTGTATTTTCAGTTTTAAACATTTCATTTATGTGTTTTAAGTTTTATTTGTGTTAGTGGTGGTTATGGTATTGATGT